GTGTGTAGTCTCGACACGTCAACAACTGCACCAGATTGCCGCGATTGCCGCGATTGGGTCAAGGGCAATAGTGCATTTCGAGGAAGGCCAGACCCTTCGCATACCCCATTTCTCTGGTGGGATTGTCGGTAAAGCAACGTTGAATTTGCAGTAGCAAGCGACGACGCTACTTTATTTCGGTTTATAAGTAGGTTTAGATAATATTTATAATATAATATAATATATATAATCATAATGATATAATAATAATAATATATATTTTATATATAATATATATATATTTTAAGGTAGTTCCCTTTACCATCTTAAACGTAATAATCTATAAACCTACTTATACCAAATAAAACTTTGCTTCATCAACAATCCTACCACAGAAATTGGACTTTGAAAAGGCCTAGCCTTACCGGAAATTAACGTCCACTCTGTAGGTCAAGAGCATTCATGGAAGTTTAGTGAACTGGTTAAGGCGTCGAGGCCACACGCCGCACTGGCACAAACCAGGCTCGAGTCGAGCTGGGAACTGCAGCCCAGTCCAGTCAAGTCGAGAAGAGAATAACTTTAGGAAAACATGGCTTTTTCAACTTCACCAGAAACGCGAAGACAAATTCAGCTCTCACTGCTTCCTAGCCTTAAACCAAAATAGGGTTAGTACACCTCATGTATATGAGTTGCTGGTAGTCTCGCAAAGCAACATATACTAAAAAACGCCACTTTACAATGTTGAATCCAGTCTCTGGGCAGCCTACAGTTCATTGAAGAGATTGTAAGAACTGCGATCTGCATCCAGATCCTTCCGTCTTGGGCTTTCGTGTCTCCCACAGTGATGCACACCAACAGGGCGTGGCGGCACGCACAAAGCAATAGCTAGTCAGTGTGAATGTGCGTCCTAGGACTGTCGTGAATCCTTACATGAGTCCTCACTTTGCCCAGTTTGCATGAGGTGACATGACAACTGTTAGTGGAGCTATTCACCACAACGAAATGAACAGGTCTCCTGAAGCAATTTAACTCGTCTGCGTCTTATCAACCCCACAGGTTGGATTCGAGCGTGAGTCTTGAAAGTCAAGAACACGCGCGGTACCACTGTTCATTAGCCACAAGGATCATTGGGTCAAAGGTCTTCCAACTTACACTTTAGCGTGGCAGTGTCGATGCCACGAAATACTACTTAATTTGATCAGCAGTAGCATTGACGATAAGATGACAAAGCTGGCGTGGTCTTCGTTCGATGCATAGAAGTGGGCAATTTGGTCGTGGTTGGGCGCATCTGACAAGATGTACCAAATCCACGGTCCGACTATATCAGACGATTTCGAACAAGTTTCGTATTGGAGTAGAGTTTCGAGACTACCAGTAAATCAGTAGTATGAGATGTATTCACCCTATTTCGTCTAAGCTGATGAAGGACTGTTAGTAGAATTTTCCCACAATCATAAGAGTTGAGCTGACATTTCTATTGAATTTCACATAGCTTTGCTCTACCAAAAGTTGTCATCATCCAGAAAAAGGCTACGTGAAATTCAAGGGAAACGTCAGCTCAACTCATATCATTGTGGGAAAATTCTTCTTCAATCAGTCCTTCATCACCTTTAACGAAATTGGATGAATACATCTCATATTACTGATTTAGAACAAGTTGCGTCCGACTAAGTCGTCTCGACAACAGGCCAGCCCACTTTTATAAAAGTAACATTGCTTCAAGACTACCAGTAAATCGTACCCATGAGATGTATCCACTCGATTTCATTTAAAGTGATAATGTGACTGATAGTTGAATTTTCCCATAATTGTATGAGTAGATCGTAACTTTACAGTGTATTTCACAAAGCCTTGCTATCCAAACAATCCACACTCCGTACTCGAGTAAACTGTCGTTTCAGCCTCACCCGGGTCTCGAAAACCTGCTTTTAAAATGAAGTATGAGCCGAACGCTATGCACCATAGACTATGATATGGGAAAATGTCCGGCTTTCCTCGGAATTCGCATTCGCCCTGCGACCCAAGTACACTGGTTGTAGTTGAACTTGATGGCTGACATGTCGAGATTACATGCTAAACACTGTCATGGTTCGAGTCTCGCTGGAGGTGCTGATGAGCTCCGCTGCCGCCGGGACGAGAATACATTTTGAGAATGGTGAAGCTACCTGTTGAGGCTGCTGATGAGACTCTTTCTCAGATCGTGCACTCGATCCAACTTTAGTGTTTGGATGACTTTTCTGTACATGACGCTTTCAGGCTCTGTTGTTTTTTGCATTCGTTGGCAGGCACACTTTGGTACATTCCAACAGTCTCCAATGTTCCAAGGCAACTGGCCAACTGAAGAGTAGAAAGACGCAATTGTACGCATTGTTCACGTTGCTCGAGAAGAGAGCGCCATTTTTCATCGTCGCCGCGCACAAAGCGGCTCTCAGCCAGACTCGATGCCGAGATCCGAGTCCCCACCAGCACAGAGGACTGAGCCCTCGACGGGATGCGGCTGTCGACAGGCCTTGATACGAGTCCCGTCTGGCCCTGAAAGTCGGTGACCTCCAGACCTCCGACTTTAGGCCTTCCCGTCTCACCAACGAGACCGTCCGATAAAGGTTCATCAGCCGAGTCCCGCCGAAGAATGACTGGACGGCAAGAGCCTGGCGTCGAAAGTTTCGGTCGCGTTTGCGGACAGTTAAGGGGTTATTTTCATCTCGACTCGGCCGGACAGGAGCAAGCATTGTGGCGAAAGGTGAATCCACCTTCACACTTCTACTCGATTTTTTCCCAAAGTCCTCAGACTACTCGTCTCCTCGGACCCCTCTCAACTCCGACACTTTGCACCTCCCTCCCTCAAGAGGACGACAATTACGGAAGTAGGCAGTGAATAAAGCGGCAATAAATTGTCTACCAAAGTTTTTTCTCTTTCGGGAGCACACACAAGCGCATACAAACACAGCCCCCACAAATTGCCGAGCCGCTTTGAAACTCACAACCGAGCCCTCTTCCTCCCAAAGTCAGACGAGCGGGTCCCAATTCCCACAGACTTTGGCCGATACAAACGTGTGCATTGTCTTCGCCCGACGCATACACACAAAAATAAATAAATAAATACATATATAAACATATTCTGTATATATATATATATATATATACATATACATATACTTTTATTCATTAATTTTCAATTAATTTGTTTATTTATTTATTTATTTGCATACATATACCGAC